CTTGACCCAGGCCTAGAGTTTGAGGCATGGTAGAACTTGAGAGCAAAGTAGGGAAATGGGACAGGTAGAAGAGTGTCCTTCTTAGGATGAGCTAAACAGTACCTTACATGTCTCCCTCCACCCTCATCTCAGGTGGGAGCCAAGCATCCCAATTGCTCACTCTCTGGGCAATTCACTGTTGCTTGAGTAGTTTGCATCTCAAATGCTTCTCTGATTCCAATCTAAACATGAAAGTTGTGAAAGAGTATTTCTAAAAACAATGTGATTCCCTACTCTGGGTCTTGGACACACAGGATATTACAGTTTAATCTCCACCAGTTCCTAGTATTGTCAGTGAAGTTTATACCCTAACTTTCTCTCTACTAAACCCTTTCTGGGCAATGTTCTGAGGAGAACAGTGACAGACCCTTATAAATTAATCCAGTGCTTAACAAACTAATTTTTATGCCACTTAATATAGTAATGAATAAAATTAAAATGGAGAGTCTCCATTTATTAGAGTATTCATATGTCCTGGTTTGCCTGGACAGCATAATTACTGCTAGAGCTTCCTTCACTCCCAAAATTATTTGTTTTGAGTACAACTCATTATCAAGTTGTGAGTTAAGACAGAAAGTGGTCAGCCTGTCAGCAAAGCTTGCTCTTTTTTGGTCATTTCTACAAAGTAGAGATAATAATGTTTTTCTAATATATCTCAGGATTGTTTTAAATACAAGTTAGATTTGAAAAGACTGTTGGTAGAAACCTATATACAACTAACAACAAAAGCAATAATAATGCAGGGTAGGTTATCAATGGCCTACATCATTCCATTTAACCTTTGCCCTCTGAAGACAGCCAATCAGTGGAACCTCAAACAGTGTGGACCATGTGGGGGCTGGCCGATCTCAAATCTCATTTTCCAGGTTGTCCCTTTAAGGCCACCCAAAGAAATGTAAAAGAGAAATAACCAGGATGACTAATGCTAACTCAGTATTGCCCACAACCAGGCACTCTTCTAGTCATGGTATGTGTGCCAATGTGATGGATCATCACAGCACCAAAATAGGTAATTACTATTATCAGGTTCACTTTCCAGATGTGGAAAGTGAGGCTTAAAGAGACTGAGGAACTTGTCCAACATTGAATATCTGAGAAGAGGTAGAGCTGGATTTGAACCAGGCAGCATAATTTCAATGTCACAACACTACTGGGTCCTGCCCTGGCTGCTCTGTGTTGGCCTGGAATGCCCCAGGCCTGCCCCACTCTGACCTCCACTGCAGTAGTCCTGGTACAAGCACACGGTTCTTGCCTTCACTTTTGCAATAGCCCCAAAGGCTCTCTGTGAAGACCTGACAGACCTGGACCCTCAACCAGAGAGCTACACAGATCCCAGTTCTGACCCTGACACCCTGGCTTATCTAGGTTCTCTGCTTTTTCACAACTTTGCATGAGGACCCTAGGCCTCCATTGGGCACACAAGGTAACCCCAGTCTATTGTAGCCTCAACAATCCTCATCATTGCCCATAAAATCCCACTGTCATGCCAGGCACCCAACACTGCTACCACTTTGCACCCCACTCCCCAGGCCCCCAGCAGGTTCTGCTTTGATATCTCCTTTCCTTAGAGGCTAATTTTGTCCTCACTGCCATGGCCATCTTCTGCTCCTTGTGACCTTCTCTGTGAAGCCTTCTGTAGCTCTCACCATTGCTACCCTTCCTCTGCGATGCCAGGCACTTTCTTATATGCCTTATTGAGTAGTGGAGAATATCAAAGGTCCCTACAGCCCTGAAAACCTCATAGTGAGGCAGCCTGTGCATTATCTTCATTATCACTGAATGAATGAATGAATGAATGCTCAGTCTCCCTGTCTCCAGAACTCCAGAAATGCTGGTTTTGGATGTTCCCATTATGGCATGCATCACACTCAATTTGTACTGCTTTCTATTAACCGTGGAAGACAGTGATACATATATACCTTATTAAATTCTAACATTGCCAGCCCAAAAAGCCAGTGGTGCAGGGCAGTCAACAGACCATGAAGGGTAAGCTTAGCATGAAGAGCTCATCAGTAATGGCCAGGTTCAGCAGGTAGATGTTGGTGGCTATATTCATCTTGACATAGAGGAGGATGACGAAGATGACCAGTGGATTGCCCACCACACCTACCAGGAAGACCACATAAATACATTGGATGGTGATCATGTTTGCTGCTCCCATGTCCCCTGGTTCTGTTGCCAGTGACTCTTCTGTGGGGCACTGCTTGCAATGGCTGCCTAGAGCCAGGCTGTCTGTCAGGATCTTCACAACCATGCATGACAGCTGGGGACATCAGGAGAATGATGAATGTATGTGGAGAGGGATGGCAGAGGGACAGAATCAGAGCACATTAGGAGGATAACTTTCTAAAGTAGAGATGAGAACATTTCAAAGGTTTACATGATTAGAAGAACCACAGAAAATACATTTCAGGGAAGAGAGTGTTCTGGCCATTAAATGGACAGAGAGGACAGCAGAAGTGAAGTATCTAGGCATTTGGAATAATTCTGGGACACCTCCATATTGGGCCCAGAGGAGACTCTTGGTAGAGAGGTGTTGGGAACCACCCTGCCTGGCATCAGAAGCTGTAACCCCCACCAAGGCTAAGGCTGAGGGAATGACCTTGGAACCATAAACCACCAAGGAGACAAGCTTATCTCCCTGGCAGGAGTGCTACTTCTGCTACTTCACCCATAACTGGCCCCCAATGCTTGGTCAATTAGCCAATGACGGGTAAGATTCCCCAAGGGGGGAATGACCTAAGACAGGCATGATCGCGTGGAAGGCCCCCAAGGAAGGACTTTGGGTGCTACAGCAAAAGGGGGTGATGGACCCTTGCCCCTCGGCTTTGACGTAGCCTGAGTCCTCATTGTCTGTGAGAAAATCTCCTAATCTCTTGGCTGCCTTACTTCCCTTGCTCCACCTAAGCCTGAAACAATGACAGGGCGGTGCAGCTCTGTGATGGAAAGGGCAGGTTCCCTGAGTGATCAGGCCTAAGAAAGAATATGTAAAATCCTGTGAGACCTGCTTTGTTTAGAATGCTTTCAATTGAATGACAAGGGTCCAAGGAAGAAGTATGTTTGTTCCTTAAAGTTTTTTACAGCTCTTTAGCTATCTGATCCTGACTCAAAATAGGCCCTCAGAGTTCCTTGTTCTCTATTGTTTGATCCTTACTTCCTGGCAATGAGTAATGAGCTTTACCTGAGTTCCTGTGTAAATGAACCCAATAAAAGCCATTGAGGAAAAGGCTCTTGGCCCTTCTCCTGTGAGAGATCGGCCACCTTTCCTCCCCAAGCAGATCATGTCTTGGTAGACTTATTCTCATCAGTGGCAGCCGGGGGGAGCCCTGTAGGTGGAGCCCCCCCCACCCCCTCCCCCCCACACACACACACAGAGGTAATTTAAGGGTCTCTTCCAGTCCAGGATTCAATGGGAAAGCCCTATATTCCTCCCTCCATCCAAATCTGAAGTTCTCCTTGGCCTCTCACCCAAATCCTTATACCATCTAGAATTACAAAAGCACCATCTTCTTCACTGTAAGGGTTTCTCCCCTAGAAACAAAGATGAAAGTAGAGCCAAAAGAAAGGACAAGATGTATTAAAGGTGTGTCCATAAAGGAGAGGGGGACTGCAAAGACAAATCTTTTAAATGACTCCACTTGGTTGACAGAAACTGGGGACAGAGATTGGGGTCATATACTGTGTTGTACAAGTGCTGATCACACCCCCTACCTGCAAATAAAGCCTGGATGAATAGCAGTGGGAAGACTTCATCACCTTCTCTGAAAGTTTACCTCAAGCTGGCCTCATCTTAGATCCCAATCCTGATGGCCTGGGAACCACTTCCAGAGGCACCAGACCTTTTCAGGACTGCGTTGGGAGCTCAATCAGGCCATCACCCTACAGTCCTTGGGCACAAAAGGACAGCACCGTCCTTGTGAAACGTTTTCTGGGCAAATCCCAACTTGAATTCTCCTGAGTCCTTGGCCAACTATCTATGGTTAGGTTTGGGAGGAGGGTAGAGAAGGAGATGGCTATAGGCTGGGCTGTCCAGCCCAGAGTAGTCCATCCCCAAGTGTGAATTCACATTCTCTGGAGTTTGAAGCAGGAGGAAACCAAGATTTGAACATTGACCCTTTAAGACTGCCCCATCCCCATGCATATTTCAGGGTACTCTGGTGGATATGCACCACCCAAGACAGCCAAGATTCATGGTGGAGATTTTCAAACATCTAGCTCCAATGTCTGCTGCCCCTATCTAAGTGACTACCATGCACGGAGCATATGGGTCAGGGGTCAGCCTTCTTTTGTGGCATCTCTGCCTCCATGTACCCATCTTCATTATCTGCACCCACCTCATCTCAACCACACAGAAATATACCTGAGAAGGTCTCAGGATTTTCCATGGCTTGTAGCATCATGGTTTGGGTGGGCTGAGGCTGGGGCCACTGGCAGACCTAGAACTCACCCATATATAAGTAGAAGCCTCAGGTCCCACTGTTATGATGCTATAAAGTGAATTTAGTGATGGGGAAGACCCTGCATGTCTTTCAGAGATTTAAAGGGACAGGGGACAGTGCCGAGAGCCAGAGAATGACAAGGGCTGGACAATTACCTCTTTGCTGTGAGGTTAGCCCCCTACCATCTTGGACACCTCATTACTGAAAGGGAGGACTCAGGGATCCCCAGCTCCATGGCTGTGAGTCCCCAAGAGCAGAGCAGAGTGGCAGAGGGTTGGGGAGTGGTCTGCAAAGGACTGGAGAAGGAAAGATCTGGGGTGAGGTCTGGATCCCAGCAGAGCCATAAGTGGGAGGGGCTGAGCAGTGGGGGTCATTGAAGGTGGGGAAACCTGGTGGGGCACAGGTCTCCAGAAGCCCCTATGTAGGCAGAGCAGGGAGACCCTAGCACATCTGCAAGGGAGCTGGTGCCTAGCAGAACGTTCATCCCCCTCAGCATTCCCCTGCTGCCCTAGGCTGGCACTCATGGTTGTGAGGATTCTGACAGACAGCCTGGCTCTAGGCAGCCATTGCAAGCAGTGCCCCACAGAAGAGTCACTGGCAACAGAACCAGGGGACATGGGAGCAGCAAACATGATCACCATCCAATGCATTTATGTGGTCTTCCTGGTAGGTGTGGTGGGCAATCCACTGGTCATCTTCGTCATCCTCCTCTATGTCAAGATGAATATAGCCACCAACATCTACCTGCTGAACCTGGCCATCACTGATGAGCTCTTCATGCTAAGCTTACCCTTCATGGCCTGTTGGCTTCCCTGTGCCACTGGCCTTTTGGGCCGGCTCCGTGGAGTGCTCAGCATAGATGCCCTTAACATGTTCATCAGTGTCTTCTGTCTTAAGTGCTCAAATAAGACCTACACTGCTCACAGCCACATACCATCAATCCAGTATGGTCAAGCTAATTAATTTGGGTGTGTGGCTGTCTTCATTGCTTGTGACCCTGACCATTACCATCTTCCTGGATGCCAGGCCAGCCCAGAGAAACCTGGCTTTGGCCTGGTACCTGCACTGGTCACACTCAGCCTGGTGGGTGGTCTTCGTTGTCTATACTTTCCTATTGGGCTTGCTGTTGCTGGGCCTGGCCATCAGCCTGTGCTACCTGCTTATCATGTATAAGATGATGGCAGTGGCACTAAGGGCTGCCTGGCAGCAGCAGAGATGCTCAGAGAAGAATATATGGCTGGTGCTGATGGTGGTGGCTGTCTTTGTGCTCTGCTGGATGTCTTTCTATGTGGGGTAGCTACTAAAAGTGTGACCAGCCTGATGTTACCATCAACTGTATGTCCCTCATCCTCAACTATGCCAACAGCTGTGCCAATCCCTTCTTCTATGGCTTCTTCCCTGACAATTTCTGCCATTCTTCCCAGCAAGTTCTGTACCTGTGCTGCTGCCTCCTGGATCCTGCTGGCAGTTCTGAGGAAGAGCAACTGGACTACAATGCCACTGCTCTCTAGAGCAGAGGTGGGCCAGAATGTATATGTTCCCCACTCCCCTGCCAGCAGTAATCTGCAACCAAAACCCAGTTACGAGCAGGTGACCTTCACCAGCACCATCACCTTCTGAAGAGCCCTTTTTACCACCTATTCTGTGTGGCCACTTCAAGGTGGTCTGCACCACCCTTCCAGTCCAGCAAACTGCCTCTCCTGGATGTTCATCTAAGAACCACCATCTCTTTCCCACATGGCCACCTCCCAATCTGGGTGCCAGCCCCATAAGCATCAGAACTCTTCTGCTTTCTCTTTTCTCTAGGACTCTGGCTCTCAAAAGGATACCTCTTGGGGGGATAGGACTCCTTTGAGAATTGGCCTAGGATATTAGTCATTCTTAAGCTATTGGCTATTTTTCAAGGGGTGAAAAACAAGAGGATGATAGGGAGGAATAGCCACCTGCATGTGACTTTTTATAGCAACTCTGCATGAGAGAAGACTGTCCAAGAGTGGAAGCTGTCCTTGCTTTGCTCTATGCAGATTTTGCCTTATGGTGGGACATATCATGTATGAAAATAAGGAAGAAAGATGCCTACAAGGACAATCCTTTTGCTTCTGTTCCTGGGATCTTGTGCTAAATGAGATTTGTGTGCAACAGCCTGAGGCACCGGCTCTGTCACCCCCAGGCCCAATGTCTGCTTACAAACACAAGTGTCACCTTAGTTGTCTTAGGCCAGTAGCAGCCTTCCTGTGAGTAGAAAAGGTTTAGAGAAAACTTGCATAAGGATTGTTACAAGGCATAAAACCAGGTCAGTGGGGGGGAAAAAAAGCACACAAACAGAGAAGATAAATGCACCTAGTTCCTATGATGTGGTTTCTTTTTTTTCTTTTTTTCGTTTTTCTTTTGCCCTGATCTTTTGCTGTAACAGCATGATACCTCATGAAGGTGGAAGTTTACACTATGGTGGTGAGGTGGAGGGGAGCCAGGGGAAGAGGAGAGAAGACCCAAGAATGCAGGTGGAAATCAGCCTAGGTTTTGGATAGAGGAGGATGCTTGCTTTATTGTCCCTGTTAATAAAATGTCAACATTTAGTAAAACATTAGCCAGATCTAGATAATAAACATATAGACTAAATACAGTGCAAGGCCATAATTTTTTGCCTGATGTTAACTCAATGATGAATTCTCTTTCCCCGAAAGAAAAAGTTCACTTAAGAGGATCTTCAGTACTGTAGGGGGCTGAGGAAATGCTTGCAATGCATATGCTGGAATTTGAAGTGAAAACATGCCATTAAACATGAATGCAGTGCTATGTAGGAGACTCTAGCTGGTTTAGCATAGAAAATGAGACTTCTAGGTTTGGTTGGCCTGGTCCTGATGATGAGAGGAAGATATGGGGGAGTAGGGAAGGCAGCTGAAGAGAGTGCCCTCTGTTCTTCCTAGTGGTCAGCTTCTAGAACTCACACCTTCCAGCAGGAGGGCTTCAGAGAAAACATTCTGGACTCATTGGCCAAGCAGATGTTACCTGTCCTGGGCCTTCTCAGGCAGCCAGTAGGTTGTCCAAATTGGACATATGGGAGGTGCTGCGAGGCTGAAGAAGATCATCAAGGCAGATCCAGAAGGGCAACCTGAGGGTATGCTCTGATTAAACTGTGGGGCAGGGCAACTCCTCTCTGAGTGAGGGAGAGGCAGAAAAAGGCCCTCCCTGAAATATTCCAGTGAAAGTCAAGGTTTTACCAGAGGTGAGCAAGTGCCTGGTATATGGGAAACTGTCAGGAGAGCTGAGTTCTGGTCTGAGATATAGGTGTCATATGACCCAGGTAAGGGTTATCACAATTCTTCATAGTTCTGCCTGTGAACTCAGATACTCCTTCTAGGACTAGCACATGGTGACTCTCTGAAGTCAAATGTTATGCTTTTTCCACACTGTATATTTTAATTTATCCCTTACTGAATGAAAAAGCAAAGCACCTTGATCTAAACTGTCTTTGAGTATTAAACTATTGGATACTGACCCTCCTAGTGCCCAGCCAACAGAATGATGTGTCAGAAGGGATCAGTGCTGATCCAGTAGGATCCAGCTCAGTCTACTGGGCTGGTGGGCCAGGTGAGATGTTCGAGGTGTGCACATTTGTGTGGTCCACATCTGGCTTAGAACATATGTAGCCAAGTCTGTACTACATATTGGAGACATGACTGTGGATTGGAAGCTCCTAAATAAGATGCAGAACTCCTTAAACTTGCAAATAACCATGCAGACACATGTGCATACACACATAAACACCCCCATACATGAGCCATCCGTAACTTGTCAGTAGCCACTAGAGTTACCAGGGGCATCTGAAGTCAGCACTACTGTCTGTGGCCCTTGTGTAACCATAACTTCTTTGCAGTCTTTAAAACTGAACTATTTCTTTCTTTCCCAATGCCAGACAGTGCCTGGAAGAGTGGGCACATGATAAATGTAGTTGAACTAAGCTGCAAGGACACCTCAGGCTGATGGCAGTGAGGTAAGGGGTTCTGACAATTGTCTGAAATGAGTGTGAGCTGCTGGGCTATTCCCAGCATGGGTGGGGTTGAGATGCTTTTCTTCAATGTGGCACAATGACTCTCAAGATGAACAAGGCAAACTTTCTGATGAACAAGATGGGGCACTGACTAGGGGGTCTTAACAACACTCATGCTTGGTTGAGTATTTTAAAATGCAACCTTTTTAACATAGGGATGTTTGAAGGAGAGACAGCCTTAGGTGCTGGAAAGAAAAGTCACTAGAAGTAGGGACTTCAGCAGCCAGGTCCTGTAAACAGTGACTTACCCTCTCTAAACCTCAACTTCCCACTTCAAATATGCACAAAAGAAGGTTGTGAATTTTGAGTTCTTTCCAGTTATAAACTATGCTTTCTCAAAGACACTCACAAGACATGTTAACTGAGACAAGGTGAGGCTGAAGACAGCATTTCTTTATGCTTAATGCCCTCTCTATCATCTGTTAAAAATGAGCATCAGCATTTCCTTTGACCCCAATGCAATAAATCACACAGGAGAGGTGGCATGGGTGGAGTCCCATTAGCCATTTTCTCCCTCAGCTGCAGATCCTTCTCAGTTCCTGGGGCTAAATGATTCAGCAGCAGCAAAGGAAACCCATAAAACCCTTCCTTGTGGTTCCTGAGTAGCAAGACTTCAGTGAATTGAGGTCAGTGATGGGGACAGCAAATGTCCTGAGGGCTCTGACATGTTTTACCTGCCTGGCAAAGGCTGTGAAGGTGCTTTGACCTTAGCATACTAAGAGGAACAGCATTTAGTTGCAACATGAGTGAAAGCAATTATTTTTTTATCACAGGAAAAAACAGTCTTCAGGCACCACTCAATCAGTAAACTAGCTTTGCCTTTTAAAATTACATTTAATTTATTGTCAAGTGAAAAACCAGGTGTTAAAGTTTTACAGATGGTTGGGAAGATAACATTTGGACATGGCACACACAGTCACTCATTGGACTTCTTGCCCCATTTGTCAGCACTATGCCTTTGAGCCATGAATACTGTTTTTATAGTAACCTTTAAATTCTAGCTTCACTTTCACTAAAAAACATCTTACTTAGCATTGTTAGGTGTTAAAGGCAAATCTGAACAGAAAAAAAAAAAAACAAGCACATATAGCATGTGTAGGCTGTGTTACCTCAGAAATCAGATGAAGAAGCCTGACCAGTGTCTGGGCAAATCCCCAAGAATTTGTGTGTGGAAGCCTTCTCTGGCAGGCTCTCAGTTGCAAATTATCACCAGCTCTCATACTCCCTTACCCTAAGTGTATGACAGAATAGCCTCAAATTTCTTGAGCACAAATGTCAAAATCCTAAGATTCTGTCTTCTTTCATAACTCTACAGTGTTGCCCACTACCACCTACATCATGCACACTTGACACTAAGCTCTTTGGATGTGGGTGAAGGTGTGTGGAAGATGTAGGTGGGTTTATGTGCACATGAGCATGCATGCATGTAGCAACCTGAATCCTGCTGCCTTCTGGAAATGCAGCAGCTTTGAGGTACAGTGGGAGCCTCCACAGACAGCTCCCTTACCCTCATGAAGCTTAGAGGTTGATTAGTAGCAAAAGGTAGACATTAATATGATAAGCACAGAACTGAGAGTGCAATTCTAAACTGGAATAAAAAATACACAAGAAAAGAACCTAGTTTTAATGAGATGATATGCTAAAAAACCTGACCTTGCCTTAGGGAGTGGCTGCATGAGAATTAACCAGAAGAAATGGGTTCATCAAAATGTGTGAAGAGCTCTCAGCAGAAGGGACACCATGTACAAAGGATCTTTGGATGATGCCCAGCCAGCTGGAGGATTTGGTATACACAGACCAAAAATGCCTCATAAGCCCTTTTGAGGATATGGGACTCTGCCATGGGATAGCACTGACAAGCCCTAATGACAGTCTTGATCTACTGGGCAAAGAAACCCATCAACTCTTGAGTCCTCACGAAATGGCATACAAACATTTTACTTTTCCGGGGAGGGCAGCAGGAGGATCCTGCAGGTCCTTTTCATTTCAACATTTAGCAACTTTGTACCTACTGGAAGGCAGTGTGCTCAGGCATATGAATAAATTGATTTAGTGTCCAATAAGAAAGAGTACTTTTGAAATGGGGGAGAACCAACATATATATCTTTAAATCCAAAATCATTAAATATGTTGCCTAGGATGGGAGTAATGACTTCTAAAAATACAACCTATGCCTTCCTATTATCAAAGACATCATGGGAAGATGGCAGTGAGATAGGTGAGAGCGGAGTCCACCTCCCCCTTGTGCACAGGTGGAATACTTGGCCAATCTCCTGAGGAACAGAGTGAACAGCCAATGGTACCCCAGCATATATGAAGATTGGAAGACAAAACTGTAGAGGACATTGAAAAAATCAGGCATTTGGTACTTTAAATACCATAGAATACATTCCCTCTGCCTTAAACCATTTTCCCTTCCCCCTCCAACTGAATACACGCACACACACACACACACACACACACACACACAACAATGGAAAGACAAAGAAACAACCCCAGATGAAAGGAAAGAAGGAAGTCTCAGAGAGAATTCTAAATGAAATAGAGGCAGGTCAACTATCACGTATTG